TTGTTTTGGAGGTCTTTTCCAACCTTGGTGATTCTATGATTCTATACATTTGCAAGATAAGCTTCCTAAGCCCTAGAAGTTCAGCAAGTTATGTGAAAGTTTCCATACGTGCAGAATAATAATCTTTAAAGCAAGTCGGTGTATTTTCAAAACACACATGGGCTTGGAGGTTTGTGCCCTAGTGAACAGAAATAACAAAATTATGTATCTGCACATACAGATGCTGTTAAAGCTTTTGGACTGAAAGTCTGTTTCCAGAGGAAAGAACCCAATTTCTTGGGCCACTTACTGCTCTTCTTCTAAATGATACATCAAGACTTAATGGAAATGAAAATCTTTTGTTTTGTAGAAGCCAATTGTGAAGAAGGCCCTCCTGGTAGTTCTGCAGTGGTGTTTCAACCATAATTTCAGCGTCAGACTTTATGCACTAGTTGCACTTAAAAAAATCTGGGGTATGTGCAGAATGTTGGATGTGGAAGAATTTGAAGCCCTGTCACCAGTTATTGAATCGAGCCTTCAACAAGTGGAAAACATGCATGGCACAGGGTTAGTAACAGCTTCTTGACCTACAGTTTTTTTTTAATAATGGTCTATGATAACCAAAAGCCACTCAGCTATAGGCTGTCGGCTAGCGTTGAGTGTCCTTGTGAGACCTAAATGAGATACCCTCTATTGCCAGACTGACTTCTGTTAGAATTTGGAGACTTTAGGGACCTTATTTCCTGAATGCTGTGGCTTTAAAATTGGCCCTTAACAGTTAAAGCATTTATTTTCCAACTACTAAAAAAAATCCAATATGTTGCATTTATTTATTTGTGCATCATGCGTTACTTTCTGCAATTGCAGGAATGCTAGAAGAAACTGGCAGAGAATCCAGGACCATTTCTTCTTTGCAACATTTCATCCACTTGAGGACTACAGTCTAGAGGCAAGTCTAAAAAACACCATTGTTTGTCATCATATTTGCATAGTTTGCAAGTATATTTTTAACTTTCTTGTCTGCTCCAATGTAGAGAAAGCAGTGATCAATTATTACTCATTTAAAACTCTGAAAAAAATAATTTCACCTTAATTGTCATGGATTTTACATCGAGAATACAGTCGAATTCTCTAATTTTGTGCTAAAAACCTAGGTCAGTCAGGAAAAGATAAGCATGATGAACATGCCCATCTGTGCAGGAGTTGATCATGTTTTCTATTTGTGTCTGGAAAAGTTACTGCTACTAACTATAGACCTGAATCACGCAGTTGTCAGAATTTTTGATGCTTCTGTTCTTAGGAAAAATACAACAAAACAACAGACTGCTGAACTAAATTGTTTAAGTGTGAGTGGGATAAAGATCTGTAACGTATCAAGCATCTTTTTCAGCTGTAATTTAAACTATAGGTTAAATAACTGAAAGCTGAATTAATGCTGGACAGGAGGCAAAAATAATAAGTGCAAATAAAAATAAGGGATGGGAATACAATTTAAAATAGAAGAGAAACATGAGTGTGAAAAGGGGGACAGTTTTTGGCAGAAGCAGTGCTGTGGTTCAGAGAAGGAGCTGACTGGTTACTTTTGTTTCTGGAAACTGATATTCTGTGAGGTATTTCTTTGAAAATTAAGTGCTTGATGTGACTTAGCATAATTGGGCAGCAAAGGTCTCTAACAATAACCAGAAAAACAAGGCTGACACAAGTAGTGAGATTATAAAATGACAGATAAAAGGTGTGCACTATAAAGTTGCCTGGAGGTTAACGATCTGTTTTGCTTTCTTTGAGTGTTGCCATGCTAATAATGCTGTTACGTTGCAGACGATATTTTGTACTCTTCCACGCCTTTCAGAAGTTGCTGAGGATGAATGGATCTCTCTCTGTAAATTTGAGAGGTTCACTGACATTCCTTTGCCACCAGCATTTCAGTGGTATCGTTCTCGAGCTGAACTTCTTGATCTAAAACTAAGTGACTGGTCTCAGCAAGACACAGGTAAAATACAGCTAATGTATATTAAATGTAATATTGGTTTGTGCTGAAATAGCTGTAAATTTCTGTACTACTCTGAACTCAGCATGCACAGGATCCTTATGCTATCCAGCTGTAGTAGTCTTGAATCTGTATGAGCAAAATATATACCATAAAATAATAGTAGATTACTTGAATGTTATCTACGGTAGTACCATTTATAAAATACTGAAGTAGTAGGTTCACTACTACTTGGATATCCATATGACTGATGTTTGTTTTTGGAGGTTCAAGTTCAGTTGACACAGATGGCCAAACAGAGTGGACTGATGTTCAGAAAAAGATCATACCCTGGAAACATAGCACTCCTACTTCAGACCTGGAAATGGTATTGCAGGACCGTGCTGCTAAGCTGGGTAAATCAAACAGCAGACTGATTGTGGTGGCTTCACTTATTGATAAACCTACCAATTTAGGAGGTAAGCTTGAATGGATGCTTTTGAACTTCTAGTTTAGACCTTGGAGAACAGTTGGCTAGAAAGGATGAATGTGGAAAACATAACGTTCAGTATGGTGGTACTAGAAATTTATTTTAGTACTACCCAGAGAAAGAGATGATTATCCTTCAAAAACATAACAAAGGGAAATGTTACCTTTTTCAGAAGTATTCTGTAGTTTATATTAGGAAATATAATAATATTGACATGTGGCATGCCTTAATTAAGTAGAACTTCACTGTAAATCATGTGATTTACAGCAGTTTATTAGGTTGTGCTTGCTGTTGTCAGAAAAATAGGCCCACAAGCTGATGCTGTCTGTGCTGCAGTGCGGCGTTGTGTCATTCTCCCAAGTCTTTCATTTAATTGGTACTGGATTTAGAGCTTAAATGTGCTGTGCCCATGTCTGTCTGTTCCCAACAAGGCTTTTGTAGTGACCCACTACTCTGTGATTAGCAGTGTAGAAGCTGCCAGATGTAGAGCTCTTACAATTTTCATCTTTCTGCTTACTTACTAAACATTTCTTTCTGGTAAGATAGATGGAACAAAAGGTATAACCTTTTGAAACGGACCTAAAAAGTACCTGAAACTGATTGAAAACAGAGGGCTAAAATAGCAGGGGTGTTTTGTTTTTTGGGTTTTTTTTTTTTAATGTTCTTTGTCCCTTCTTACTTGCTAAAATATCTTGGCTCAGCATTTATAGAGTTTTCTATACGAAAATCACTTCAATTCTTCTATTGTAGGTTTATGCCGTACAAGTGAGATATTTGGGGCATCTGCACTAGTTGTTGGCAGCCTTCATTACGTGCAGGACAAGCAGTTCCAGCATCTGAGCGTTTCTGCAGAGCAGTGGCTCCCCCTTGTCGAGGTGAATGGAAACTGTTTAGCAGCTCAGAAGTTTGCTGCAGCCTTCAGTGTATCCAGATGCATAGTTTGCTACCTTATTGTTTCCTACTGCAAAAATGAGCCTATTTAACAAGCTCCTGCTGTCATTTCTGACACTTAAAATATTTTGGAGCGACCTTTGGGTCACCCTCATAACAATTTTATAACTTTACATCGTTGTGATTAAGTGCAGCACTGGAATGTAATGTTTACTTATAAAAGTCAAACAGCACTTAATTGATCTTAGTCCATTGCTCAGCCATTGAATTTGCCTGAAGCTAAATTGTGCTAAGCTTTTAGAGCTGATTATCTAGCTTATAAAAATGATTTCAAGAAGTATCTTTAATATTTGTGCAAAAATATGGTTGTGATACTTCATTAATTTGTTTTTCTGTATCAGCCATGGTTAAGTCATGTAAAAACATCAGCTCAATTTTTTCTTTATTCATGATGTTTATTTCCAGCATCTTTTTCCAGAGCAGTACAGCTGTAATGTGTGTCCATCAGCATTCTGTTTTAGGCAGTGCATTTTTTATTCCTAATCTCTGAACTGGGGCACACTGGTAGAACTTCTGTTGCATGAAGAAATTGGAATCTAAAACAAATATGTAGTTTAGACAGTTGGATGAAGAAAAGTAAGAAATTCTTTACTTGAAGCTATCAGAAGTTGTAATACAGGCATGTCAGACAGCTAAGTGAGCTGCAGTACATGCTGTGAGATTGTTTGGGGATGAGCTTTCCATGGTTAAATAACAAACATGCAACATTTCATGCAAAAGTGATTCTTCTACATTCAGATAAACTTGGTCAAGGCTTGTAGCTGTCAGAAGCACAGAAATTGCACAGCATTTATGGAGTAAATTTTCCTGACATTATGTACCTTTTATGCTACCACTGAAGAACTTTGGCAATAAAACTCATTTAAGTATAAAAACTGTCCAAGTAAATTGCTTTTCTTTATTTAAATAACTCAGAAGCTTACAAGTGGTACTACTTAAGTATTTTTGTATTTGCCTACTTTTGGACAGGTGAAGCCCTCTCAGCTTGTTGATTATTTACAGCAGAAGAAGACAGAAGGCTACACTGCTATTGGAGTGGAGCAGACAGCCAAAAGTTATGATCTTACAGAATATTGCTTTCCAGAGAAGTCACTGTTATTGCTGGGGTAAAAACATGTGCCTTTTATAAGTCACCCTTACTATCCATCCAAATGCCTTTCTGTTACCATGTTACTCACAGTCTGATCATGTGAAAATCAGGTGTTATTGGTGAAACTGTAACTGGAAGTGAGTGGGGAAACAGCGAAGAGTTTGGCTTGCTAAGGAATGGGAAGTATTGATCGTATCCATGGATATGTAGTATGTCTTCAGAATGTAGTTCTCATAGTCACCTTGTTCTCTTCTAATCAGAAGCATAGTTTTAATTACTGAAAACATCTGGTATCCTCTGATGTGCTTGTTCTGAAGAGGTGAAACATTGCAGGATACTGGTGAGCCTGACAATCCCTCATACCACGACCTCTGCACAAGTAGGCAGCTGAGTTATGGCTGGTTTTGCAGTGTATGGATGGTTCAAAACAAAGGCAGAGAGGGAGTGCTAGTGCTGGGCATTCAGCTATTGCTGGCACAATGAAATACACATTAAGTGCTCTACCAGATTTCCTACCTACCAGCTTGTTCATGTTGTCCATTCAGTTTTATTTTTGTTTCAGCAATACATTATTGCTTTACAAAAAGTAACAACTTGTGCTCATATTTAAGGGCTGACAATTTTTCAAACAGTATTTCATTGCTATTGTGACTCTCACATCTTCTGCTTTCTGGAACACCTGTCTTCTCCCAGACGTAATCACTGTTTCTTCTTCACTAGGAATGAACATGAAGGAATCCCAGCAAACCTGATTCACCACCTGGATGTCTGTGTGGAAATTCCTCAGCAGGGTATTATTCGGTCACTCAATGTTCATGTAAGTGGAGCTCTGCTGATCTGGGAATACACAAGGCAACAAGTGATCAAGCACAAACAACAGAAATAACTGCCAAGAGTTTTGTGCCTTATAGTATATCTAGGTGGCTTCCTATGGTGCTACAGCATGGGGTTCTAAAGAGAAAGATACAACTCAGGGCAAATGAGGATTCTTACATTTTGCATGTTTTATTTTCTGCATTTCAGAGTGGTTTTTAAATGCCTTAATACTTTACCTCCATAAATAAAACTTGCATTGTGATAAACACTGTTTAGGCTGTGTGTGGTGTGTGACAGTACTGCTTGGTGAACATCAGCATTTTTACTGGATTTCTACTGCAGTTAGATTGTGACAGCCATGCTTGAAACTCAAGCTGTGCCTTCTGATAACCACAATCAAAGCTTCAAAGCTTCCTGTACACGAAGTGAACTGTTGAATGTCTCCAGCACCCAGAGGGGATATACATTTTGGCACCTGCGGGGTCAGTGCAGGTAATTTTTCATAGTATAAGTAAATTTAAGTGCCTTTTGTGGTCAAACTTATTGTTTAGTGGAGTTGCTTCAGTGTAAGGTAATTATAAACACTAAATAACACAAAAGGCCATAATGTGAGATAAATAACTGTCCTATTTAGAAGTGGGCTGAAAGATGACTGTTACAGCTTATATGGATGGGATGCATTAAGTCTTTTAGATAGGTGCTGTTTTGTAAACTGACATCTGCCTTAAGATATATTTTCAAGTACTTAAAAATACCGGGCTAGTGACAAATATAAATTAGATACTTATACCATCACTACTCCCTTTTGACAAGGAAGCAAAGCTGGAAAAGCTTTATTGGGGAAAGTGGATCCACTTAAGAAAAAAGCAGTTGTCCATGTGATATAAAGAAAAGTAAATGCTATCACATAATCATTTATTCTTGCAGAACATTGACTGGAGTTTGTGAACAGCCCTGCACTGTATTTCTTTGCCTCATATTTATGAAAAAGTTGTCCATGGCCATCTCTTTTCAGCAGACGTGAGGCCTTGCAGCAAGAGCAGCATTCTGCATTTTAGGAGGATGGATGGGTTACCAGTTCTTGAACTCCAAAGGATGTGTTGCTTTTGGCTGCTTCTTCCTGCCACAGATCTTGTGCTATGTAGATGCACTTCAATAAGCGCAGTACCTAAGACTTTCCAGCAGTTTCTGGAGGTTGAAACCCTTCAGATTCCAGCTTTTCTCTGTATTTTAAAAAATCCCTTCTTTTGTCAAAGTATTTAACCTGTTGAAAAAGGAAAAACAAACTTATTTTCAGTTTAAGAAACTAGCAGAATAAGGGTCAGAATAGCATGATAGCAGGACGGGGGAAGCCCAGCTTCCTCAGCCTGTCTTCATAGGGAGGTGCTCCAGTCCCCTGATCACCTCTGTGGCTCTCCTCTGGCCCCACTCCAGCAGCTCTCTGTCTTTCTTGTACTGGGGGCTCCACACCTGGACACAGTACTCCAGATGGGGCCTCACGAGAGCAGAGTATAGAGTGAAAATCAGATGGGCTTTAAGGTCCCTTTCAACTAACACTTCTGTCATTCTTGGGTGTTTGTCAAACACCCAACTGAAGTAGGATTTTGTCTTTCTCCTCATGCTTGTAAAAGCAGACCCTTGCCTTCTACCTCTCACTGCTGTAAGGGGAAGCTGTGGCTATCAGGTCGGCCCAGCACCTTTTCCATGTTTTCCCAGACCCAGTGCCCCCTGCAAAGCATTGCAGCCACTGGGCACTGGTTTTTAACCTGAGCTCAGGCCAGCAGCAGAACTAGGAAAGGCATGCAGCTACTGCAGCTTTACGGAAGAGGCCACGAAGCTGCTCAGCGGGCTGGAGCACCTCTGCTATGAAGGCTGAGGGAGGTTGGCTCGTTCAGCCTAGAGAAGAGGCATTTTTGGCAGACCTCAGTACGGCCTTCCACTCTTCGAAGGGACCTCAGAGGCAGAACAGGGACCGACCTCTGACGCGGACGCAGAGTGAGAGAGGCGGGGTTGTGGCCTTAAGCCCCCGACCCGCGCTCACTGCCCGCCCCGCCCGGGGCCGGCCGCTCTGCTCACCCACTGCTGCGGACACAAGGACTCGAAGGACCGCCTCAGCTTCTCGCACCGCGGCGCGTCCTCCGTGTGCCCGTCCAGGCACCGCCAGAACTCGTCGCGTGCCGCCCAGCACGCTTTCCTCTCCTCCATGGTTGGGGCCGACATGATCCCTGCCACGATGCGCCGGCCCCGCGCTCGGCCGCCCGGCCCGCCCCACACCGCCGGCGAAGGTCAGGAGCGCGGAAGCGGCGCAGCGCGCATGCGCTGGGAGAGACGAGGAGGCGGGAACAGCCAGCCTGTGGGAATGGCGCGTTGAACGCGAGGGGGGCGTTAAGTGTTTGCCGCAATTGGAGGCTTTGAATTACGTTTCCAGCTAGCAGTGACAGATAGCAAGAGCTCAGTCAGTTTGTTTTCTTTGCATGGAAGGGCTCGTGGCCTTCCTTAGGTCATGTTCTTTACCCGTTACAAAATTTCAGTGAATTTAATTTGGAATAGTGTTCTTGATGCAATATAGCCCTATACCCAACTAATTATTTTGCTAGAAACAATAACATAATCTTACCTGAGTTAGCCACCATAGACCAGGCTGCCCAGGGCCCCATCCAGTCTGGCCTTGAACACCTCCAGGGACGGGGCATCCACAGCCTCTCTGGGCAGCCTGTTCCAGCACCTCACCACTCTCTCTGTAAAGAACTTCCCTGACATCCAACCTCAATCTTCCCTCCCTCAACTTAAAACCATTTCCCCTTGTCCTGCAGTTGTCAACCCTTTCAAAGAGTTGATCCCCCTCCTGGTTGTAGGCTCCCTTTAGGTACTGAAAGGCTGCACTGAGGTCACCCCACAGCCTTCTTTTCTCCAGGCTGAACAAGCCCAGCTCCCTCAGCCTGTCTTCATAGGGGAGGTGCTCCAGTCCCCTGATCATCTCTGTGGCTCTCCTCTGGACCCACTCCAGCAGCTCTCTGTCTTTCTTGTACTGGGGGCTCCACACCTGGACACAGTGCTCCAGATGGGGCCTCACGAGAGCAGAGTATAGAGTGAAAATCAGATGGGCTTTAAGGTCCCTTTCAACTAACACTTCTGTCATTCTTCAATTTTCTTGCCTCTCAGATACCCATTAAGGATGTAACTCACGCTCTTTTAGTCTCACAGCTTTCCTTGTTATGCCTGGAAAAAAGATGATTGAAGAAAACATAATTATGTGTTTTCATTATCAAAAGATGAGTAATTTGAGCTAAGAAATACTATGAACTGCATACAGCATTCACCTCTTTCTGTTTCTCTTTGAAATGTTTTAACAGAGATTACTGAAGGCAGCTGTCTCTCTCAGAAGCTCTCACTTAAATGAAGACAAAAGCATTTCATTTTAAACATCAGATGTTACTGTGCTGTGTTGAAGGCAAGCATTGGATGGGAGAAGGTTTCCCTGCAAGAGTATCAGTACTATTTCATGGAAGGCAGAAGTTCCAATTTTTTTTCCTAGAGAGATTTTGAAGGCCTCCTTTATAAACTTTTAAGTTTCTGTTAATACTGATATTTTTCAGAAGTGAGAAGATGAATAACAGCCAGAATCAGGTTAAACAGAAGGCCTGCTTCCAGTTCTCTTGTAGGCTTAAGAAGATCCCAAGTTGGAAGGAACCCCCAACGATCGCTGAGCTGAAATCCAAGCCCTGTGTCTGAAGGCGGTGTCCAAATGCTCTTTGAACTCCAGGCAGTCTGTTCCAGGGTCCGACCTTAGCTGCAGGTTGTGATGAAGGGAGTGTCCAGGAAGCATAGGGGGGAATTTGATGATCGACACAACTGTGATTTTCACCTTCTTCCAACCTCCATTCAGTGATCTGAAGCCTACTGAGGAGAGGCTTGCTTTTCTTTGTAACCTTTCATGGACATTTGTTGAGTACTGTGTAGAATGCAGTCTGAAAATCTCTAAGCTACCTCGATGTTATGACAGAGGAAAAAATCCTAGCTATTTCGGATTCTTTTAAGGTGATGAAGGCATTTATGTTAATTATAGTGCTTGGTTTTAATGCTAATGTTCATTTTTTGGTCAGTTTTTCAGGAGGAATAAAACAAAATGAGTATTTTTGCAAGAGCAGGTGATGGAAAGGAAGGAGCACAGACTAATTCTTATTCCTGTTAGTTCCCACTTACCAATTCTCCAGACCCTTGAGGGATGAGACAAGCTTGCTTTGCAGCAGTGTTGATGTTTCATTTCTTGCAGAAAAGCTCAGATGGGGAGCTGGGAATCTCCCTATTCTACAAATAGACTTCGATTTCCAAAGCTATTTCAATGGAAGAAGAAAAGCAGTGAGTTTCATTTGAATGCCTTCAAATTACCATGGCATGTTACACACTGAAATCTAAGAAATGGATTTCTGTGTCTCACTGAGACTGAAACACATCCTACAATTCTCTATCAAAAATCCAGCAGCTACACCGAATACCTTTTCTCTCTGGAAACATTTCAGTAAAACATAAGTGCATTGTATTGGGTGAGTTTGCCTTCACATGCACAAAGATAATGTTGCTCTCATACATAGTAGACATTTGTGCCTAGTATTAATGCCAACTTCGGTAGGAGCCAAGCTAACAAGTAACATGCCTCTGGTCATATACAAACTCACACAAGACGACACGATTTTGGATATATGTTGGGAAAGCATTTAGAACGTATAGCAGGTCAAAAATCAAAAGGACAATTTTATACAACTTCCTGTGTGTGCCTGCCAGGCTGGAGTCATTAAGGAGTTGGCAGCTTCAGAAGCCAGAGGGACAGCAATATCTACTGCTGGGAGGCTGCAGATCTGTGTTTCCTGGCCCATTGTGTATGATAGTGGCTAGCAGAGCAGAAAGACAAAGCTGAAGCTCACATTTTTAAGTCCTTGCCAATCCTGCTGCTTGGACTCTACTGGAAACCAGCTTTGTGTATCACTAGAAGCTGCATTTGGTGTAAATAACATGCGAGGAAAAGCAAAGGCCACTCTCCCCTATGGAAAGGCAGAAGGGAGCAACTCCCAAGTCTCTCAGTTGTCTTTTTATGCTCTTTGAAGCCTTAAGGGTGAGCAGCTCTCCACACGCTTGGTCCTTGGTCAACTTGGTCTTTTTGATAGAACAGCAAGCATTGCACTTAGATTTCTGAAGAGTTTCCAATAAATCTTCTCATTACAGAGATTGTATTGGACAGGTTCTTAAGTACAGCACTAATACGAGTTCTGCAGTTTGCCTGGTTCCAGACTTCTAACTCTCCTTTAAAAGATTGGCTCTTCATTACTGAAAAGCATGTTGGTTGCATCATAGCGTGTCTGTGATGCATATGGAGAAATGCTGATGGACACTATTTAGAATAAATATGTGGCTATAGAAAGATGGATAACACATTCTGCTCCAGTGGAGTTTCAGGTAGAAGAGATTGTATGAGGCTTTTTAATCTTCAGAAACTTTAGTTTGATCTACTGGTCCTGTCCTTAGGAATGCAATCTCTTTTTAAAAGAAGGTTTTTAGGCTGTAGGCAGGCATCTGTTCACTTGATTTTCTTTTTGCTTTCAGAAGTTCCTTAAGCTCTTTTTTTAATTTCCTTTTTCTGATGTTAAAGACTTCTAACTAAGATGCAGGCTGTTATAGAAGAGCCCTAGAACGTGGCAGCTAATGAAGCAAATCTACTTGTTTCTCTTCTAATAGCAATGAGCTAATTAAACTTGTCTATCAAAATCCATTACAGCTGGCTGTTTCTGCAAGGACAGCTTGCACAGGGACTGGATCATGAAAGCAGCTTCTCAGCCTTAGCCTTATTCAAGAAGCAACTTGGCTTATGAGGAATGAAAGGCTCGAAGCACTGGTCCCAGGCTCCGACTGCGGTGCTGCCCTGCAGAGATATACGGGCTTTGTTCCAGCAGCAGGACTGAATCACTGTGCTGTGGAGATTGCACACTGTGCTTTGGCCTTTGAGGCAAGCAGGGGAGCCCTGCCAACTGCAACCTGATCTAGCTGTAGGCATCCCTGTTCACTGCAGGGGACTTGGACTGGATGACTGTTGAAGGTCCCTTCTGTCTCAAATGATTCTACAAACTCAGCCCTGAACTCCAAGGCACCAAATGTATCCAGTATATCCTTTACTGCTCCCAGATCACAAAGGTTCAATCTTGCTCTCACCTGAAGGCTGATCCAGGGGCACCAAGTGCCTTCTCAGGAATTCTTTTCCTTCTTATATCTTGTCCCTTCTAGTGGGACAGTTCCTGTATTTCTTCAGCTTCAAATGTGTGAAATTTCAGCATTTACAGACACGTACCCATATGGACATGCCACTTTCTTATCATCCTCCTAGTTACATTCCAGGCTTCACTGTCTGGAAAGTTTCACTGAGCATCTGCCTGCCCTCAAGCCAGGTGCTCAGTGCAAGATATTGCCTGGAGAAATACAGGTCAGATCACCTGGTTGATTTGTATGTGTGTAATTCAGAGCAGCTTAAAATAGGTAGATCTAGTTTGCACAAGAAAGAGACTGTAATAAATTACTGATAGAAATCCCAGCCCGTGCCTCTGTTTAGGCTGCTCTCTGGAAGGATAAAGCAGCAGAAGCAGCGTCAGCTGCATTTGGTACATCACAGTTTTACTGATACTGCTGGCTATTGCAGCACGAGTTCCCCTGTGACCTGCACTGAATGTTAACAAGCCTGTACTAAGTGCAATTAGGTGCAGTATGTAACATCATTCAGAGCATTTCTGATGTCCTCCGGACAGCACAATAAAATGCAGCGCAGAGATGGCAAAAAAAAAATACCTCTTATTAGGATTATGGAAATCAGGACTCACGCACTTGTTCTTGGCCTTGCCTCAAGCAGGGAGCTTGGGGAAGAACATAGGATGCTCTGAGGGTGACTGTAACAATCAAAAAGATCAACACAATGAAATGGCATTACAGGAGATGCAATGACAAAGGAACTAGCACAACAGAAGGGTGTTACAAAGAGAAAGTACTCACCCATCCCTGAAGATAGATGCTCACAAGGGAAACTCCACAAAGGAGGGATCTCCAACCAGAGATCCTTCCCCACTGGCAGTCAGCCCTTAAATGAGGTCCAAGAGAGGTGCAGCCAGGCTCCACCCCTTCCAGTCACACAGCTGAATTGCCTTCACCTGTGCTCCCAGGGCTGACTGGTCCTTTTTCCAGGTGCTCAATCAGTGGTTCAGGCCTTGACTCAACAGTTCCCATGC